AAAAGGAAGGAGGGAGGGAGGGAGGGAGGGAGGAGGGAAAGGTACAAGTTTGGCATCAATCAAGGGCTCACCATAAGATACTCTAATATGTTTGTTTTTGGGGAGTTCTGGGAGCTGCAATCCAAAGACAAAACTTCTTCCAAACTCTTTGTGTCTCAATCAAAGGATATAGCAGGATAAAAATATAATATTTATAGTAATGATAAAGACAAAACTTCTTCCAAGTCCCGTCTCAATCAAACAGTAGTTATAACAAAGGCAAAACTTCTTCCAAATCCATTATGTCTTACTGTAAACAAGCTTGGAAGAGAATTTGCCTTTATAATAATAATAATTCTATTTATGTTCCACTTTTATCCCTTAAGGTGTAATTAGTTGGGAAAATTGTCTTTATTATAATATTAATAATACTGTGTAACAAAGTTTGAAAAAAAGGTCTCTTCCTGGTTTGAAAGTGTTATTTCCTGCAGTATTTACCTTGACAACAATTGTTATACCTCACTGAAAAACTATAGCAAAATATGCTGCAGGCTATCTCTCCCACAAAGACAAAGTGTTTGCAGTTTAATACATTTTCCATGTTTTTACAATAGAACTAATTAGTAAATGACATTGATAACCCAGGAACAAAAATCTGTTACATATTGTTATTATTATCATCATCATCATTCACTCTCCCTCCTATTATTATTATTATTATTATTATTATTATTATTATTTACTCCCCCTCCCATTATTACTATTACCATCATCATTAGCTCTCTCTCCAATATTATTATTCACTCTTCCTCCATTATTATTATTCACCCTCCCATTATTCTTATTATCATCATTCACTCTTCCTCCACTATTACTATATTATTCACTCCATCCTATTAATATAAATATAATAAAAATCATCATCTCCTACAGGGTGAAGCAGCATAACTTCCTTTTTAAAAATGTGTGCCATTAAGTCAGTTGAAGACATAGCGGAGTGCTAGTGGTCTCGTTTAAGTGTCCTGACACAGTTCAGTTGCCATCATGTGTTGGAACAGTGAGGAGCGTGCTTTTGCCGCTGAGGCCTACTTTTCAAGCGGATTTGGAGTGGCCGGCCCGCTCTCCAGATCTGGCCCCTTGTGATTTTTTTCTATGGGGTTTTTTGAAATCCCGTGTTTATGTGAACCTTCCAAGGACCCTACAAGATTTGAAGACCAACATCCAGGAAGAAATTGCCAACATAATGCCTGCTATGCTGGCAAGAGTCATGACAAACGCCAGAAATCGGTTTACTCAGTGTATGGAGAATGGAGAATGGAGGACGTCACCTACTTAATTTGATCTTCAAAACTACGTAAAACAAAACTTTAGGTATACGCCTACGTTATAAAAAATAAAATAAAAATTTCTGATTCGTACAATGGGTTTTATTAAGTTTTGAAAAAATGAAGTTATGCTGCCTCACCCTGTATTAGTATTATTATATTTATGTTCCACTTGATTAAGGTGTATCAAGCTTGGAAAGATTTTTGTCTTAATAATAATAATAATAATAATTATTATTATTATTATCCTGCTTGTATCCCCCTAGCACAGTGGTTCTCAACCTGTAGGTCCCCAGATGTTTTGGCCTTCAACTCGCAGAAATCCTAACAGCTGGTAAACTGGCTGAGATTTATGGGAGTTGTAGGCCAAAACACCTGGAGACCCACAGGCTGAGAACCACATCCCTAGGAAGAATTCTTCCTTAGGACTTAGACCACGCCTCCTATTTGCATGACCACGCCCATCCCTGCGAAGAGACATTTCCCCCCAGTGCACCCCTTGGTGGTTTTCCTTCAGGGAAATGGACACGCCCACATATTTGCATGGCCACGCCCCCCATTCGAGAGAGCGCATCCCTCTTGATGCAGCCTTCCCTCAAGGCGCTGGGCACGCCCCTCTATTTGCATGGCCACGCCCACTCACCCGTCCCTGAGGCAAGAGCACCACGGCGCTGCCTCCGGAGGCCTTGGCCGCTGTCCAGGCTTGTTTCTCTGGCGGAGGGACCAGCCCCGCCGCCACGAAGGAGGCGGCGAACTCCCGCCAGGCCTCAGACTCCGGCCCGGGAACCGCTTTGGCCCTGGCCCGGCTCTGGCGACGCTGAACCGCTTTGCGTAGAACCCTCCGCCGCCGTTTGTGTTGCTGATGCCGCCTGAGGAGAATCGAGGACCCTTTCGCCGCCATTGCTGCCCTCGTTTCCACAGCGACCGCGCTTATATCTTCTCGCGAGACCTACTTTTCCAAGTTTCGCGGAAACTCAGAAGTGGGGGCTGAGCCGGTGGGCGTGGCTTCCCATGACCCACTGCCTGTCCCATAGAGATAGGAAAATACTAGAGAACACGCTTGGGTAGAAGAATGGCGCTTTTCAGAGGATCAATAAAACCAAACGACAGCAATATGAATGATTTTTTTCTCTCTCTCAAAAATAAAATAAGAATTTATTTATCGTGTCATCAGCAACCATTGTGTTACACTTCTAACAGAGCAAAACAAACACACAGATTAAAAAGAAAAAGGAAAAAAACACACCAATTTTGCAAATTTGGTATTTGGTTAAATGTCCTTTAACCAGTATCTGGCCACTTGGAGTGCTTCCGGTGTTGCCGCAAGAAGGTCCTCCATTGTGCATGTGTCAGGGCTCAGGGTGCATTGCAGCAGGTGGCCAGTGGTTTCCTCTTCTCCACACTCGCATGCCGAGGATTCCACTTTGTAGCCCCATTTCTTAAGATTGGCTCTGCATCTTGTGGTGCCAGAGCGCAGTCTGTTCAGTGCCTTCCAAGTCGCTCAGTCTTCTGTGTGCCCAGGGGGGAGTCTCTCATTTGGTATCAGCCATGATTGAGGTGCTGGGTTTGAGCCTGCCACTTTTGGACTCTCGCTTGCTGGGGTGTTCCAGCGAGTGTCTCTGTAGATCTAAGAAAACTATGTCTTGATTTAAGTCGTTGACGTGCTGGCTGATACCCAAACGGGATGAGCTGGAGATTTCTCTGCCTTGGTCCTTTCACTATTGGCTGCTACTTCCCGGCGGATGTCAGGTGGTGCAATACCGGCTAAGCAGTGTAATTTCTCCAGTGGTGTGGGGCGCAGACACCCTGTGATAATGCAGAGAAAATAAGAATGAAATGAGAGCTAAAGAAATAATGTATCTATACACATAATAAAAGTGAAAATCTGTATGTGGCACAGGTGTCTGTTCACACTGACAACCTCCAGCCTCCACAAATAGGCTATTGTTTCCAGTGCTGAGAAGACAGCAAGTCACTCTCTCGAAGGACATTGCAGGTTATAGCAAGCACATCCCAGTGTTCCTTTCTCTCTTCATTTGCATGACCCCACCCACTGCTTCTCCCTTATCCCATTCCAACCCTTTCTTTTGGCACACAGCAGAGGAATTGATCAGCAACTGAACATACTGGAGAGGTTTGGAGAGAATTCACAATGATTTATAGGAGTTGTAGGGACTGGGATGCATAGTTCACCTGCAATCTAAGAGCACTCTGAACTGCACCAATGATGGACCTGGAACTCACTTGGCACACAGACCCACCATGGGCAATTGTCCATACTTGCAGAGTTTAGGGGTGATTACCCTGAAAGTTGTAGTTCACCCTTATCTAGAGAACAGTGAACTCAGCCAATGATGGATCGGGACCAAACTTGGCACACAGAACCAACATGGCCAATTGTGCATTCTGGCTGAGCTTGGGGGTGATTGCCCTGGGAAACTGAGAGTTGTAGTTCACCCTTACCTAGATATCACTGAACTCAGGTGCTGTCGGATCTCGACCAAACTTGACACACAGATCCAACACGGCCAACTTTAATGGCAGGGTTTGGGAATGACTGACCTACAATTCTTGAAATTGTAATTCACCCACAGCCTTATGCATTTTCTAATGGAAGCATTAATTAAAAAAACAAATAGAAAGACTGTTTGTTTTTCTAATAAATAGCATTACACATTACCAAACTGATATTACCAAACTTCACAAAACAAACAATGCCTTCTCAAATAACCCGGGCAGCGCCGGGTCCCCAAGCTAGTTTTAAAATAAAATAAAATGTATTCGTTTAAGAATAAGCCAATAAGATGATAGAAATCAAATAGAATATAAGTAAAATATAACACTCACCTGAAAGTAAAGTAAATATAAATAAAATAATAATAAAAGAAATAGGTAAAGGTTTTCCCCTGATATTAAGTCCAGTCGTGTCCAACTCTGCGGGTAGGTGCTCATCTCCATTTCTAAGCTGAAGAGCTGGTGTCCGTAGACACCATCAAGATCACATGGACTGCATGGAGTGGTACCTGTTGATCTGCTCACATTTGCATATTTTCAAACTGCTAGGTTGGCAGAAAAACATTCATTTTCAAAGGAAGTGCACACCATACAATCAATCAAATGTTTATGTCAAAAATATAAGAATAATAAAATAAACAATACACTTATTTCAAACTAATCTGGTGCCTTTTAATGGTGTTTTGTTTATATATCGAGTTACGGTTATTTTAAAATTTACATTTTGATGATTTTATTATTAAATAATCATAAATCAAAAATAAAATATCGAATGGAAGTGAAAATATGTCCTTTACAAGATGCTCCCGGACGATCAAAGAGCACTGTGAACCTCCCCAATCCTATAATATCTGCTTTGAACTGGGTTCTCTGAGTCCACACTGCCATATATTCCAGTTCAAAGCAGATAATGTGGGATTTTATTCCCCTGTGTGGAAGGGGCCTGGAAGAGTCCTAAACTACCTCTGCTAGAAGTCAGGTAACCCACTTTCATCATCCCGTAAATCTATTGGTTTGCACCGTAGCCAATTGGGGCTCAGTGCTGCACTCTTCTCCCGCCCTGTTGGTATAGCTCCGCATTTGATTGGACGCTTTTATTGTCCCTCCTCAGGGAAGCTCTTTTGTCCCTCCACGGTTCTGAGGAGTTGGGTTCATGTTCTACTTCAGCCAGTAGGGGCCGCTGTTGCAACGTTGACTTCCGGTTTTTCTCTGTGGTGGGGAAGAAGGCTACTTCCGGATTCAGATTGAATCCCACCCACTTAGAGATAGGATACCCTGTCAGAGACCCTCACCTGGGCACCTTGGAAGGTAAGCAGGGCCAGCTGTGGTTAGTATTTGGATGGGCTCCCTTTAGAAGTGGGTTTATGGGTTATTTTGGACTGCTTCCATTTCCTGAGAGAGTGGGACTTGTCAGACTACAACTGAAAGAGAATCTTATATCATGGAAGCCTCTCCATCCAGTGACCAGAGAGAGAGAGAGAGAGAGAGAGAGAGAGAGAGACCTCTAATTTTCAATCAGGTTGGAAGCCCTAAAGGCAACAATGGGATTTAAACCCACTTAATCAATAAAGAAAAAAAAATAAAGCTAGACACGTTCAGCACTGATTAGTACTCAGATTCAAGATTGCTGTTGGGAATATGTCAGAGGAAGGAAATGGCAAAGCCTCTCAACTGATTCCTTGGCTAAGAAAAGCTTTTGACATCCTTAGGGTCTCCGTAAGACGACAGGGAACTTGAAGGTACACACAGAACTGCCTATATCGTAAGGTCTGAGTTAATTGTAGTTCTGTCGCTTCCCTGAGTTTGTTGTTGTTGTTTATTCATTCGGTCACTTCCGACCTCATGAACCAGCCCATGCCAGAGCTCAGAGTCAAGCCAGTCACTTGACTTCAAGGATACCATCCATCCAACTTTCCCTCTTCCCTTTTCCTTCCATTTTCCCCAGCATCATTGTCTTCTCTAAGCTTTCCTGTCTTCTCTATATGTGGCCAAAGTACTTCATCTTTGCCTCTACTATCCTATCCCTCCAATGAGCAGTCGGGCTTTATTTCCTGGAGTAAGGACTGTGGATCTTCTCGCAGTCCAAGGCACTCTCAGAATCTTCCTCCAGCAGCACAGTTCGAAAGCATCTATCTTCCTTGGCTCAGCCTTCCTTATGGTCCAGCTCTCACAGCCATAGGTTACTACGGGGAATACCATTGCTTTGGATCTTCGTTGCCAGTGTGATGTCTCTACTCTTCACTATTTTATCGAGATTGGTCATTGCTCTTCTCCCCGAGTTCAGTCACTGCCTTACGCTGGACAAGATGTGCATCACGGTGTAGAATGGTTTAGGTCAGGGGTCCTCAAACTAAGGCCCAGGGGCTGGATGCGGCCCTCCAAGGTTATTTACCCGGCCCTCGCTTAGGGTCAACCTAAGTCTGAAATGACTTGAAAGCACACAACAACAACGGCACAATCATCTCATGAGCCAAAAACAGCTCCACACTTCCAATTGAAATACTGATAACTTTGTATTTGTTAAATTGTTCTTCATTTTAATTATTGTATTGTTTTAAGTGTTTTTTGCACTACAAATAAGATATGTTCAGTGTGCATAGGAATTCATTCATATTTTTTTCAAATTATAATCTGGCCCTCCAATAGTTTGAGGGACTGTGACCTGGCCCTCTGTTTAAAAAGTTTGAGGACCCCTGGTTTAGGTCAATTAAACTAATATGGAATGAGTGAGGATACTTGTGTAAATTGTGTAAATACAGATTGTATTTACACAATTTGTGTAAATACAGATTGCCAATATCCGCTGGATAATGGAGAAAGGCAGGGAGTTTCAGAAAAACATCTACTTCTGTTTATTGACTATTCTAAAGCCTTTGACTGTGTGGATCATAATAAATTGTGGCAAGTTCTTGGTGGGATGGGCATACCAAGCCACCTTGTCTCTCTCCTGATGAATCTGTACAAGGACCAAGTAGCAACAGTAAGAACTGACCACGGAACAACAGACTGGTTCAAAATTGGGAAAGGCGTACGGCAAGGCTGCATACTCTCACCCAACCTTTTTAACTTGTATGCAGAACACATCATGCGATGTGCGGGGCTTGATGAATGCAAGGCTGGGGTGAAAATTGCTGGAAGAAACATTAACAACCTCAGATATGCAGATGACACCACTCTGATGGCCGAAAGCGAGGAGGAGCTGAGGAGCCTTCTAATCAAGGTGAAAGAAGAAAGCGCAAAAGCCGGGTTGCAGCTAAACAGCAAAAAAACCAAGATTATGGCAACAAGAATGATTGACAACTGGAAAATAGAGGGAGAAAATGTGGAGGCCGCGACAGACTTTGTATTTCTAGGTGCAAAGATTACTGCAGATGCAGACTGTAGCCAGGAAATCAGAAGACGCTTACTTCTTGGGAGGAGAGCAATGTCCAGTCTCGATAAAATAGTAAAGAGTAGAGATATCAGACTGGCAACAAATGCTATGGATTCAAGCCATGGTATTCCCTGTAGTAACCTACGGATGTGAGAGCTGGACCTTAGGGAAGGCTGAGCGAAGGAAGATCGATGCTTTTGAGCTGTGGTGTTGGAGGAAAGTGCTGAGAGTGCCTTGGACTGCGAGAAGATCCAACCTGTCCATCCTCCAGGAAATAAAGCCCGACTGCTCACTGGAGGGAAAGATACTAGAGACAAAGTTGAAGTACTTTGGCCACATCATGAGGAGACAGGAAAGCCTAGAGAAGACAATTATGCTGGGGAAAGTGGAAGGCAAAAGGAAGAGGGGTCGACCAAGGGCAAGATGGATGGATGGCATCCTTGAAGTGACTGGACTGACCTTGAAGGAGCTGGGGGTGGTAACGGCTGACAGGGAGCTCTGGCGTGGGCTGGTCCATGAGGTCACGAAGAGTCGGAGGCGACTGAACGAATGAACAACAACAACACTTGTGTAAAAAAAGCCAGTATGGTGTAGTGGTTTGCACACTGGAGTTTGGGTTCATTTACAGTTAGAATTAATGCAGTTTGACACCACTCTAGCTGTCATGGCTCATTGTTGTGGGATCTAGAGAGTTGTAGTAGTTTTCTCTGTCAAAAAATGTGCCTCGTCAAATTACAATTCCTGTGTATCCATAGCATTGAACCATGGCATTTAAAGCGATACCAAACTGCAATAATTCTACCTTGTGGATGCCTCCTTGGTCTCTAGAAAACTGTGGATCAAATCCAGGCTCGCCAACAGGGCAAGCCTTTGGTTAGTCAGATTTAGCCTTAGAAGAAAGCAGTGGCAAATAATAATAATAATAATAACAACAACAACAACAATAACGACAACTTTATTTTTATATCCTGCCACCATGTCCTCGAAGGGACTCAGGGCGGCTTACAGGTGGGACCAAGCCCAATAAAACAGATTAACCAATAAAACACATTTAAAAACACAATAAACGTATTACAACTAATTAAACAATAAAAACATTTAACATATAAAAAACATCATTACAATCAATCAAAACCAATCTTATAACCAGAGCCAGACTATAATAGGCATATCAGGATCAGAGAGGACGTGGGTTAGGCATGGGCTTATGCAGAGACAGATTATAGGGCCAGGGCTGGGGATAAAGTGCTGAGTTCAATCCGAGAGTTAACTAAGTCTAGGCAATCATAGACAGACCTAATAATTTACAAATGCATGTTGAACTATCCATGTTTTAAGGTCCCTACGGAAGGTAGACCAGATGGGTGGTAACTAATCTCTAATCTTGTCCCAAAAAGTTGAACCTTTGACGGTGGCGGGAGTGAGAGAATAGTGTCTCCAGCAGATCTTAGGGTCCGTAGCGGTTCATAGAGGTAAATGTTGTCATGAAGATAGGCAGGACCCAAACCATTTAGGGCTTTGTAGGCAAACCCTCTCTGAACAAATATGCCCAGGAAAATATGATGATAGGGCCTACATAAGGTATTGTTAGGCAAAGTCAAGGTTTAGCATTCACAAGATTTTCAAGGGCATCTGAAATTTCCATGGCAGTAAGTTAACTTGACCTTGTTTAATTGCACATGTGCATATCATTAGTTTTGGATAAAAAGTTTGCTGAAACATGCTGAACCTCTCTCCTTATTGATGGTGTATCTCCTTATTGATGGTGTATGAACCTGTTTTTATTTTTTCCATGTCTTTCTGGCTCTCGTACTATTTTTCTCTGTTAAAGTGATACTAAGGAAGACATTGACTGAGATGCTTATATTGGCTTCAGAGGGAAGGCTTATCTTCATCCTCACAGAAAACTCAGGATGAGCAGCATGGCAAAGGAGGGACAAAGTAATTTCTTTCCATTTATCTACTTACTTTATTGGATAGAATTCCATGCACTTGTCTACATGAAATAACTGGTTGCTTATGGCGATGAGAGCATTACTTAAAGACAAGACTGTTCCTGTGCTAATATGCTAGACACAGAAAAGATTAAAATATAAGCAAATTATATTTTTATCTTCTCACCTTTTAACTATCTTGTGTTTTTTATAAGTTTTTCATCAATAATTTCATCTCCAAATACCTTTTTCTAAATACTTTTTTTCTATATATCAAGTGAGAATATCCAAGTAAACAAGCTGCACCTTCATGTAGGCCATTCTCTTGTATTTGTGCTGCAAGTAAGAAAGGATAATTTTAGAATGACTTTGATCCACTGAAGGATTTTCAGTAATAAGGGGAAAGGGTTCTAGAAGTTGATTGTGGTGCACAATAACCCATAACTTCTGCAACTGCAGATAATGTCTTGAATTATTTATTGGCTCCAGGTTACTAAGCTGTCTGGAAGATATTAAATAAGTCCTGAATACTCTGTGCACAAATCTGGTGAAATTTAAAATCTTAATAGATTTAGTTGGTGGCTTTGTATTTTTTTACTGTATCCTCTAAGTAGAAATAGAATGTAGTGAGGGTTTTTTCTGAAGTTTTGAGGTCACGTGTCATCAATGCTCTTTTCAATGCTTTTTTTCCATTCTAAACCAGTGCCTGTAGTAAACTGGATGATGGTAAACAAAACTATGCTAATTCCAGACCGGGGATTCCGTTGTGTTGAATCGGTTTCCCCTGAAGACACAGGGCTGCAGTTTGGGGCCCCTTCCACTCAGTAGAAAAAAATCCCACATTATCTGCTTTGAACTGGATTATATGGCACTGTGGACTCAGATAACCCAATTCAAAGCAGATATTGTAGGATATTCTGCCTTGATATTCTGGGTTATAGGGCTGTGTGGAAGGGCCCTGGGTGCACTCTTGAATTCTGCCCTGAGCCCAAAGGCCCAGCATTCTGTGGTCCCAGGAGCAGTTTTACACACTTAAGACTAGCATGCCAACTGAGCCTATTTCTTGAAACATCTTAGTTACTTTGATTTTGGGTTACTATAGCATACTCTCCATGGGACTCAAAAGTGAAAAGTTCAGTTGGCACCAAGAATTGCACTTAGACTATGGATTGGGAGGAGGTTACTGAGATTATACGTATTATTCCTTTGTTAGAATATTTCCTCTGACTACCAATCTGTTTCTGAGAATAATTCAAAGTCTTGGTGCCTAATCTATAGAACTCTGTGTCTTACGTCCATAGAGTTTGAAAGATACTGTTTTCCTGTATGAGCCTTTCTGGGCTTTTAGGTCTTCGGAATTGACTGAAAGCGTTTTTAAGCATGTGATGTTTTGCTGTTAATCTTTTGTCTTTTAATGGATTTGCTTTAAAGGTTTTAGTTCTACAAGTACCATATATACTCATATATAGGGCAACTTTAAGTTAAGGTCAGGTTTTGAGGCCAAAATTACAGATATTGAATAAGTTGAGGGCATTCCACAGAGAGGGAAAGCCGCAAGTGTACCATAGAAGCCAGGTGCCTCTAGTGCAGTGGTTCTCAACCTGGGGTCCCCAGATGTTTTTGGTCTTCAACTCCCAGAAATCCTAACAGGTGGTAAACTGGAGATATCTGGGAGTTGTAGGCCAAAAACATCTGGGCAACCCAGGTTGAGAACCACTGCTCTAGTGCCTTTCTTTGGTTTTCCCAGGACAAATTAACCTCTTGTCTTTCTCTGTTCTACTCAGAAAGGGACATGTGTTGTTGTTGAAAACAGGTTTCTAAGAATATTAGAGTATTAGAGATACATGGGGGTGTGAAGGCTTGGAGTGGGAAGCAGAAAAATGAATAAACAGAGTTCCAAGGATGTTTGTTGAGGTTTTCCTATAGAAACCTGGAAAATTTAAACATTTTCAATGTTTAAATACTTTATTTTAGAATGGTGAATAATGATAGACTCGTGTTGGTGTAATGATACTTAGCAATAGTGCAGTACTGTTGTACAGCACTTCATTGGAATGAAGAACAATGGCATCGTGTTTATAATTGGGAAAAGAAGGCTGTTCACTCCAAGCAGCCTATTTCTCCAAAGCTGGCTTTCAGAACTGTGGCAGCCATAACACCTGGTGTTTTGCAAGCCTATATTTTACCTTCCTGGAAAAGTTTAGTTCTAAGGACACTCTTCTCTGTATTACTACTGGGGAAAGAATGCCATTATTTGTCCATTAGTAGTCACTGAATGTTCTGCTAATCTCTGTAGTTCTGCATCTGCAGTCTTTTTACTTCATACAAGCATAGGTATGTAGTAGATTCCTTCCTATTGTACCATAAATTGCTGTCTGATGTTTTACTCCCTCAAAAATGATTTCTAAGACTCTGGAAAGTATCAGTTAAATGTCTCAGAAGGCATTGCACCTTTAGGTATTTGGTTCAAGAATGCAGCCTGGGATATTGCCAAACATAGCCATCCTGCACCATAGTGTAAGGGCCCCACCAGACACTACCTCTGATTCTTTTTGCCTCCTTGAAATATTTGGCTGCTGGATTTACATTTAAAAGATCTGAACAAAAACATTGTATGAGTGTTGGGGTTCACCCTGAGTTTGAACTTGAACCTGATTCTCTGTTTGTTCCTCCTGATGCTAATGAAAGTATATTTACTGATGCTAGTGGAAATGTACCTTTTGATGCCAATGCTCCTGAAATTAGTGAGGAAGAAACTGCTGTAGGTTTGGAAAATGCCAATGTTCCTGAAATTAGTGAGGAAGGAACTTCTCTAGATTTGGAAAATGAAAGTACCAGTGTTCATGAGAATGTTTCAGAGGGAGACCTTGAACTTTCCCTCCCTTCTGCACCTGTTAACTGTAATGACAACAGAAGGGGCCAAATTTGGAAAGACAGAAGTAAAACACTCAGTTTGCGTCGATCCTCCCGAATTCAAGAATTAAAAACATTGGCTTCAAAACAGAAGGGCGGTTCACGGAACTGATTCTTGAGTTTTAATTGCAATACGCCAGGCTGATTGCCTCAGTTCAGGCATCGTTTCAGAATTGATGAAGACCTTGGCAGTTCTCCCGGTTCCCTGGCCATAGTTTGGGAAGATTTCTAGGATATCAAGTACGGTTAGTGGATTGCTAACAGATTCCAGTATTTCACAGTGAGGCTTTTGGTTTTGCTTTGTCCATTTAAATTCATGTTTGCTGATTTTGCTGTGGCTTTTGACTTGCATTTTTCCTTTATTTTGTAACCATTTTTCTTCAATAAAAAAGGATTGTTTTTCACAGCCAAGTGTGGTGGATAGTTATCTTAGGGCATCGTTCCCTGCTCTGGATTGCAACATGGAGAGAGAGGAAGCAAAGAGCCATATAAAACAGAAGAGGAACTTCATTACTTTAGGTGTGTAATACACTCTCAACAGTAGAGATTTACATGGTATGTGAGAAGTATGGACAGCTCCTCTTTCCCTGCACCAGAGATGGGAAGGCCTGGGGGGGGAAATGAAAAATAGGAAAACAAAGAGTCCGTCCCCCTGCTTTTCCCCAATTCTTCTGGGGGTTTTTCTGCCCCCTCCCAATTTTTCCATTTTTTTATAGGTTTCCCCATTTCCACCCTGCACCCACTTTTCCCTGCCAGTCTTCTTTGAAAAGTCCCCCTGAATTTTCAAAGTAAATTTGGGAATTGGGTTGGAAAAATCTTTCTGCCTATAGAATTCATTCTGTTGATAGACAGATATTAAAATGCTTGAACATTTCTGTTTTAGTGCCAGTTTCCAGCACCAGATCATCTATGTCCCACTGGAGTGTATCCGATAGTGCAAACCAGAAAAAGCAAACCAATGCATCACGGCAGGCAAATCAGAATGGATCACGGCAGGGAAATCTGATTCCTTTAGGTATGTCGCAAAAATTTCCATTGCCCTGTAACATATATACTGATAATTTCATTTTGGGGTTTGAAGGCATATTTTGTGTCGTTTTAAAAGATCTTAAGGAAATTCAACTATGGAGGATGCCCAGTAGTCTGCAAGAAACAATGCAGATGAGAATTCTGTATTGCTTTCTTTTCTAATCTTGGAGAATTCCTTTGTATGACTTATCTAAGCCTTAGGCTGAGCCAATTCCTTCCCTTGAGAAGGAACATTATGTGAACAGTATACAATGCGAAGTCACACACAAGGGACCAACCAGTCTACTTTAGGTATGCACTATGTTCTTAAGACAAGCATTGCCAAGAGATTCTGAAAGTGTGGGCTCCAATTCCAAATGGGCTCCCCTTAGATCAAGGTTAGGGTCATGAAAGAGTTATCGCCCCATCCGTACACACACACACACACACAAATAAAATAAAAATGAATAAATAAATATTATTGTTATTATTTTACTGACACAAAAACACAATATGTCACAGCAAACAAGATATATATGCTGGATTTCGTATCACAAAATCAGAAGTCGAACACTTCCCAAGCGTCTAGGACTGTGTGATGTATTTTCGAATGATGTGTTCAGATCCAAGTAAGGTGGCCTTTTGCAGTTGACAGATTGTGATTTTGTCAATGTTTATTGTTTCCAAATGCTGGCTGAGATCTTTTGGCACAGCACCCAGTGTGCCGAAGACCACTGGGGCCACCTGTACTGGTTTATGCCAGAGCCTTTGCAGTTCGATTTTAAGGTCTTGATAACGGCTGAGTTTTTCCTGTTGTTTTTCCTCAATGTGACTGTCGCCTGGTATGATGACATCGGTAATCCAAACTTTTTTCTTTTCCACAATCGTGATGTCTGGTGTATTGTGTTCCAAAACTTCGTCAGTCATTGTTATTATTATTACTATTATTATTATTATTATTATTTTCCATGAACATTTATGGGACTTACTTGCTATTAAGAAATAATGCAGCATGGTCAACAAGACCGAATACGTTAGAGAAAAGTAATGAATTAATCCAGGTCTATTGGTTTGTTGTCTTCAGGTCATGCGGCAACTTTGAATGAACATAATACTGATGTGTCTCATTCCCATGGACATGGATATGTCAAGAGTACAAGCCAGAAGACAAACAGCTCTCAACCACAAAGGAGCACCATGTCTTCTTCAGGTAGGTAGAAGAATTGTAAATTTTTAAAATCATGATTCTGTAGAAAATCATACTTGTTTCCACAAAAGATGTTTCAAGGAAGACATTTTTCTTTACAAGGTTCAAATCCCTCTCAAAGCTAGCTTTTGAATCAATAACAGATGTGGCTCATGGGAATAGGCCTAGTATGTGCTATGCAAGCAATGAGTGCACATTGAAGCCCTGTCACATATTTGTTTCCTTAGAACAAAGTCCCATTTGCTTTTAAGTGTAGATTGTTTCTATATTAGCAAGCACAGCATGGAAGTCAGATATTTCAGGAAAGCTCCTCACTTAAGAAGATGCGTGTTCTTTACAGATCCCCTCTTTTTTATTTCAGGGAGAAATTGTGTTCATATACCCACCCATACTGTAGTTAAAGCACAACTTTTTGCATTTTTTTTACTTCTTAGGGCACTTTTTATTCACAAATACTGTGTTTTTCATGGGTAAGTAATGGAAATTGCACCAATACAGTAAATCTAAAGGTTTCCCCTTGTGTCCAACTCGGGGGGGGGGGGGGGGGCTCATCTCCATTTCTAAGCCAAAGGGTTGGCATTATCCATAGACACCTCCAAGGTCATGTGGTCCACATGACTGCATGGAGTGCTGTTTCCTTCCCACTAAGGCAGTACCTATTGATTGACTCACATTTACATGTTTTCAAACTGCTGGGTTGGCAGATGCTGGGCCTAACAGCGGAAACTCCTCCCACTCCCCAGATTCGAACCACCGACGTTTTGGTCAGCAAGTTCAGCAGATCAGCTGTTTACCTGCTGCGCCCAGGGTCTGTTGACCAATACAGTACTCCTCTAGTAAAGACCAGATAGATATATCATTAAGCAAGAAATATGTGTAGACCACAGCTAGTAGCTCTTGGTTCTTTCTTGTCACTTAAGATCTTATAGAATGGTAGATACCATGCTCAAGTCAGTCAAATGAGCTGAGGTGGACTTTTTCTCCATTGAGTCACTATAGTTGTTAAATCAAAAACGTTACCCAGTTGGGATCTAGAAGCACAAGCATGTGATCCACTGATGGTGGATCTAGAAATGAATTCCAAACAAAATCATTGACATTTGTCCATGAAAGCACAGATCTAGCTGAGTTAGAGGAGAAAGAGACTGCTCTGGGATCTTGGCATTCCTGAGAAATGATGGAAGAGCAAAAGAATTCAAGTATGTACTGAGCAAACTGTGAGATAGGTCTGAGAATCTGCTCTTTTAGAAATATTAAGAACAGCAACCACTCCTAGCAGAGATACGTAACTATTGCTTTCTGTTGGAAGGTAGTTGACAGCTGAATTGTATGCAAATCGTTCAGAAATAACGATTTATTATCCAAGACATAAATGCTGAATATTTAGTACATCAAAGTATATCTCATAATAATAAAGACTTAGGCTGATCATAATTGGAGAACTTACGGAACAACATATGTGTGGATGTTTCTGTTCAGTACAAGCAGCCCACAGCCATTCTGCGGTCTGCAACAGTATTGTTTTACTCTTGTTTCTTTAGAACAATTGCCAGACCTTTCAAGCTTGGAAACAAGTGATAACAGAAGCCAAGAATCTGTCTCCAGACGCTTATCAGTAGTATCAGAATTCCCATTGCAACGAAAGCAACTGTTCAATCTCTTTGATCTCATCCCAGGGTTGGAAGCTTGTGAACTTCATCAGGGACTTTACAGTAAACGCAGTAAGGCAACAAATTGAAAGCTAAATGCATGACTTCTCCATTTTAAAGAGAAACAGAATTTTAGAGCAATTTGCCTTGGCAATGTGAGACATGTGAGATTGTCAATAGAGAGGTGTTCATTTGCAGATTCTGTCTTTCTGAGCGGGATATTGGGAGGAGGTGTTTGGATATTTGTAAACCATATGTTTATCCAGATTTAACAAGTACTCTTAGATGTATGTATAAAGGCATTGATGGTGGCTCAGACAGGGATAATGGTTACCTTTGGCTCATGGGAGCTCCACTTTAAACCCATAGTGCATACCTAAAGCAGACTGGTTGGTCCCTTGTGTGTTACTTCCCATTGTATACTTTAAACCAGGGGTTCTCAAACTAAGGCTCGGGGGCCAGATACGGCCCCCCAAGGTCATTTACCCGGCCCTCGTTCAGGATCAACGTAAGTCTGAAATGACTTGAAAGCACACAACAACAACAGCAACAATCCTATCTCATCAGCCAAAAGCAGGCCCACTCTTCCCACTGAAATACTAATAAGTTTATATTTGTTAAAACTGTTCTTCATTTGAATTATTGTATTGTTTTAAAGTGTTTTTTGCACTACAAATAAGATATGTGCACTGTGCATAGGAATTCATTCATGTTTTTTTCAAATTATAATCCGGCCCTCCAACAGTTTGAGGGACTGTGACCTGGCCCTCTGTTTAAAAAGTTTGAGGACCCTTGCTTTAAACCCTCTATGTGTAAACATGCAAGAATTTTTTAAAAAATAAACCAGTTGCAGCAGCATAGCAAGTTGTTAAGCAATGAGCAAAGAAATATTAGGGCTTAACTGTTACATAACAATTTTGTAATTGTTCACTCAGATGGAGGTCTCAGACGGTCTTATTGTCTGGTATAAAGTTATAGTCATGGTCACTTTTTTGTGTTACCAACACATTGTTGTGCATATGCAAATGAAAGCCTAAAATGAAAGCAGATTTTCTGTATTAAGATAGGATATGAAGTAGTGTTGACTGTTTATTTATTTGCTGATCACCTGGTGATGTTATGTTTTTTCAGAAGAAAGGACCTGCCCCTTTTTACTGAATTGGTGTTGAAAAATATCAGCCTCAATAGTATTTTTTTCTTGGTGTTTTGGTTTTTTGGGCCTGTTTCTGGGGTTATTTGGGGTGCATATTCAGAAAATTACATTGAATAGACTGCATCTGCATGGGCTGGTCCATGAGGTCACAAAAAGTCGGAAGTGACTGAATGAATAAACAACAGATTGCATCAGTTCTAGAGTGAGGCATTGCATTTTGACATTATTTGTTGCAAACTGCTTTGAGTCTCCCAAGGGGTGAGGAAAGCAGTATATAAATACAATAAATAAATAAATAAATAAATAAATAAATAAATAAATAAATAGTTTCTTTGATACGGTTATCATGGTTTTCTGTAGATGGCGACTGGTATATGGCATATGTTCTATATCTCAAAAACTAGAGCTAATGGGGGGAAACTGGTGCAATTTTTGAAATCAGCAGGTCAAATATACCCGGAAACAGGTCTCACATTTGTTTCACTAAAATGTGTGTTGGCCAATCTAATTTGATTTGTTGTTCATTAGGTGCATGGCCACCTATGCACCTTGCCCCAGTTTTACTAATATTTATTTATTTATTTCTTAGCCTATACAATGGTTCAATATAGTAATGTTGCATCAGCGGTCTTTGCCAAAAACAGACTAAATGGTTTTGAATATCCTTTTGGGAATCATCTGCTTGTTACTTTTATTGAAGATGAAACTGATGAAACTGAGTGAGTACCAAACAATATAAAAGTTAAATTAAGTATGCTTGAATAAGTTTGGTAATCATGAAGGGCAATTATTTTAAGGGAATTGTGTATAAAAGAAACATACAAAGAAATTAAAATGTGCCATTATTTACTAATGTTAATTGGAACGTAGTTGCTGGATCCTTTATGCTGCAGCACATGTGATGATTTTGTTGAAACGCCAAATTAAGGTGACTTGAAGGAAAAATTAAAAATACACGTAACCAAAAATGGGATTACCCTTGGTTTCTCTCTGGGTTTTATATGAAGCTAAATTTTGAATATAATTGTATGACAAAATCCCATTCTCAGAGAGGTAGCAAAACTATGGGCATTAGATGTCATGTAGGCCTGAAGACTGTCTTTGCTATCCCCAGGGGGCTATTTCATTTCAGTGCAAGCAAACCCGCCCTGTTTGGGAATAATGAGATATAGAAAAGATAGCAATCATGCCATTCGACATACAGAATATGGCAAGTAGAGGGAATCAATTTACCCAGCGGCAGTATACAACAACAGCAATATTGGGAGCCATTGATTTTTCCTCCTTTCATTGAAAGGGCGTACTCCACTAATAACAATATGTAACAAAATTTTAAAAAAATTTCCTGGTTTGAAGGCATTATTTCTTGTTTAATTGTGCAGTACTTACATTGAAAGTAGTTGTTATATGCCAGTAACTTCATTTTTATGGTTGCCACAAATTTTTGTTTGAGACTCAACTTAATATTTATTAAAAAACTATAGCAAACTGTGCTGCAGGAATGTTCCGCCGAAACAAAGTTTTTGCAGTTTAATAAACCTTTTCTGTGTTTTATGATAGAACCAATTAGGAAATGACATCTATTACCCAGGAACAAAAATCGTGTTACATAGTGTAATTGAATTGCAAAGCAGCAACAGGAGAGACATGACATTTTTTGAAAAGGGCCAGTGATAGACAGCTTTATCCTGCTGTAATTGCGATTTCCAGCCATGTGTAATAAACCCCTAAAAAAAACTACTTTCCAACAATTCAGAACAAAACCAAACTTCTCTAGGAGACAAAGGGGATTTTGCAATATCTTCTGCTCCCTACTCCAAAGCTCTTTTAGGCTTGGGCAGTGTTTCAGAAAGCTGGAAGTAATTTGCACTCACATCTTGTTTTTGAGTAAGGCTTCCCCTGATGGGAGTTGAGTTCAGAAGTAAATGCCCAATGCAGCAGTATGTATCAAGTGTTTGATTATTTCCTCTCTTTATGATAACAGCCATGTTTCTTTAATTGTAAGATGCCGTTGATCGTAAGACGCACCCTAAATTCAGTACCATCACCAAAACTACATAAAATACAGCTATGATGCTAAGGCACTCCCAATTTTTAGAGATGTTTATATGGGAAAACAGTACATTTTAGAATTTAAGAAATACAGTACCTTTCACAGTATATCCTGGAAAAAAATGTGGGCACAGATTAACTTTATCTGCTGGATTACATTAGAATTCATATGAAGTATGAAAATATCGCCAAGCTTGGTCAGCATAAATGTGTTCATCTACTTCGATGAGGGGTAAGCTGCATTTCGTTTTAAATTGTGATACCAGTCACCTAGAGTCCCATAATGGGAGAAAGATGCAATACGAATAAATAAGTAAATATCTTTGTCTAATACAATTGAGTAGTGTTAGGATATACATATACAAAATTTGTTTTTTTAAATATTATTTTCTTTTGGATTACAGCCTCTTTGAAGAAATGGCAACAGAACTGGTGAATGCAGAGATGTTATCAGTAATATGGAAAGACAATTCAGTTCTTCAGCTTCTGGGCTCTTCTGTAAGGACATCCAATATTTGGAAATTCTATAAATAAGTGTTGAGTCTTGCCTCCCTCTCTCCCTCCCTCCCCCCCTCTCTCTCTCACACACACTCACACACACACACACACATACACACACTATATACTCACTAATCAAAAACCCTCTGGGGAGATGGGGTGGGATACAAATGATGATGATTGTGATTATTATTATTTATATTATTATCTAGTAGTCTATGTGTGTTTGGTTGTTTCTATTGAAACTCCCCCATTGTAATAATCAATAAGTAACTGGCCTATTGGACTCTCATGAAGCTGAATGAACTGTCAAAATGCCAAGGAAAAAAGGATAAAAAACCTCTCCAAAATGCCCAAAAATCCAGTTCTGATTGTCAAAAATTGCTTTTGTATATTTTCAGCTGTAACTGCAACCTATTTAAAAAGTAAATTTCCTCTCCTTTTACAGTCAGAAGAATTGTCTGAATGGTCTACCAAAACAGCCTTGATATGAGGCACACTTTGCCCATCTCTCTTTAGAATGAAAAAATAATGCTCTCCGTCATCCTTAATAACCCATTTTCCTCTTCCCTTCTCTTCCTTTCTCTGGATAACTTTAATAGCTAAAGATTTTGGATCATGAGTTTATCCATAGGTGGTTGCTTCCATTTGTAAAACGTTATGGGTTGAGGGTTGTTGTTTGCAGTTTGTTTGCTGGAAAAGCAGCATAAAATCTTTTCACAAAAATGGAATGTGTTGTCTAAGCAGCTAAGCCTCAAAACTGCAAGGCTATTCAATGCTAATCAAGGTGGCCAATTGCAACATTCACACTTGCCTCAAACAGACAAGAGTTCTTTCTCCCGCCCTGGACATTATTCCACAAATACATAAACCTCACTTGCCTAGTTTCCAACAGACCTCACAACCTCTGAGGATGCTTGCTATAGATGTAGGTGAAACATCAGGAGAAATTGCTTCTGGGACATGGCCATACAGCCCGGAAAATTCTCAGCAACCAAAAAATGGAGTGCGTATGCAGAATTAGACATTGTAAATGGGAACAGATGCCTGAAAGTTCCCTAAACTACAGACCAAAATCATCATTAGAACAAATAGCAGTCTTTTGGAGATCAGGATTGGATGATGGGACAGATCATAAACACAAATTTAATGTCAATCAGAGATACTCCTCTGTGAGAACACAGTCTCTCTTTCTCTCCCTGTATTGGCAAGGAGAAGGAAGCAATCATTCTGTTGGGTCACTTGTGCTCATCAGACACATAACTAGATTGAACCAACTTGTATTCTTTTCTCCAGCATTCTTAATTTGTCCTTTTGCTTGTTTGCTTTTGTTACTTCTGCCTTGAGTCCTCATGTTGGAAGAAGCTATAATTTTAAACACTAGAGAAATAAACCATTTTGAAAACATTTAAGATGCCTAGAAGCTCCGATACATGCTAGAGGTGGGAAGATATCTAAGCACCTGCACAGTTGATTGGACGGCACACAGGTTTTCAACAGAGTCTTGACTGTAGTTCCCTTTCTTTTTCAAGGAGATCCCGGTTCCTCCTCGTCTTGAAACAGATGCTGAGCTTCCTTCAATCAAAAGGAAAGCTCCTCCTGACTCTCCTGTGCGGGAAAGGCTTCTCATAATATTTGACCCTCGCCCCTTACCTCCAGATATCTTGGACAATGTATTAAGGTGAGTGTCAGAAATATTAAAAATTAACTAGGTATTTTTAATTACAAAAATGTGAGTCAAGCACTGAAAGAGTTAAATGGATGCAAGGACTCAGCAAAAGTTGCAGTTCTATATAAGCTTCGTACATCTCAATGTTAGTTGCCCTCAATATGAGAGAAGTCTCGGTATGAGAAGGCTCTCGTGTTAGTTTGTCTCAGTATGAGAATGCCTCAGTGTTAGTAGGCCTCAGTGTGTGAGAGACCTGGTGTGAGAAGACCTGGTATGAGAGGCTTCGGTGAGAGAAACCCCAGTGTGAAGGTGCTGTGTATAAAAAGCTACTGTGTGAAGCTCTTGTGTAAATTTAGTATAAGAAGAGGCTCAGTGAGAGTGAAGCTGTTTATCTGCATGAGAAAGAAAGGTTGTGGAAACCTTGTTCTTGTAAATAGTGCAACCATATTATTTTGCTATAAAGAGAAGCCTCCTAAGGAAGATATAACATTAGTCTGTGAGTTTATTCTTTTTATCACTTTGGGCTACTGGTGTTGGGTCACGGTGCTGCTAATAAGTTGCTCTGGTGTATGTTTATGAGGAGGGTCTTTTGTTAATAAGCCCACTCGCCCAACAAGATTGACTTCAATTAAAAAAAACTGCTCAAAATGAATGTGATTGGAACCTAAATGAAAAATAATTGTAGATTGTGAGGAGTTGTAGTTGTATGAGTTTGTCTGAAAGAGAAAGGAGTATGCACTGGTGGAAAATGACTACAACAATTGACTTGGGACATTGCAGATGATGCTTTCAATTTCATGTGTTGAAATGCTTGTATGTTAGATTTTTAGAAGGGTTTTCCCACTGCCATTCCAAGTCAACTAGTGGTTGTTTATACAAGTAGAACCTGACTAGTTAAAAATAAAATAATGGTTTTGGCTTTAATCTAAAAGCAAAATTTTGGAATCCACAAATAAAACCTTAAAATTGATTTACATTAGCATAAGGTTTTGAGAGTAGTCCCACCATCCACAGATGCACAAAACATACTTAATATATTTGGGAACCCACTCAAGTAACAATGTAATAGGAGGCTTTTTACAAGTGAGACTTCAAAAATAAAACAGTACTTCAATATTGTATGTAACTCTCTAACTATATTTGTCCTTGAATGTTTTGTTTCAGTCGATTTGGAAATTTTATAAAAGTTTACCTTATTCCTGGGGAAAATATGGGTCATGCCATGTTTGCTGACAGAGCAAGTGCTAGTGATGCCATAGCAGTGTTACAAGGGAAGACTGTGAATGGTGTGAAGTTGAAGGTGACACTATCTGATTTGCCTGCAGAGAACCCCACAAAATCCCAAAGGATGTTGTGACCAAACAGGTAAATATCTTGGCATTACATGCACTACTGCTGGTTTCTGAGCTGGCCTTTCTCTCTTCCATTCCTTCATTGAAGCCAGAGTAAGGAGGGTTTAAGTTAATGAATTTAGCCCCCTGCCCTCACTAGAATCGTATACATGTTGAGCCTCTCTTATTAGGAAATCTGTAAGCTTCCAAAAACTTATTTTCCCCTATTAGACACCCACTTCTGCCTTCAAGGAAAGGAGCTTAGTCATACAACTAGCATCTTCTGAGTTTTTCCTCTGTAAAAATTGACAGATAAAAGAGGAGGAGAGGGAAGACTGCGGTTCTTGGAGCTCTGCACACACAAAACCCCTATAAAAAGGAGATAATCCCCATTTCTCCCCCCAGATGTTGGCAAACTTCCTGCCCTTTTAGGAAAGCAGCCCATGTAACTGGGGAGGAAGAGAAAATCCAAGGAAATTTGCCCACTTCAACCATTCCTAATCTGGAATTTGTAATGCTTACCTTAACCTGAACTAGATCCCACCATGTAGAGCACTTTGCAGTAGTCTAAACAGGAGGTCGCAAGAGCATGGACCACCATGGCCATGTATCTGGGATGTTTGCTTTTTACAGGAATCATGGTTTCCCTCTTTTTCCCTCTTTATTGCTGATAGGAGCAAGGCCTTTTTGAGGAAAAACTCAGTGGGTGATGGATGTGTGACTAACCCTCTTTCCCCCCATGCATCCTACATTCACGATGTATATGCAAATACAGGTATTCCAGAATGTCAGAGAATCCAATATGTATCTGATCCCAAGCATTTCAGATAATGGAGATCCATCCTGTATAAGATTTAGAGAAGGACTTCTTTTTCTATGAAGATCTGTTGATCAATGGGAGAGGTCAACAACAGATAACATTTTATTGTAGATGCAGCCAGAATCTAAAGTTGTGATGTTTCTCAGGGGCATAAAAGTATTTCTGTGCTATTCAAGCCTTTCCTCTCTTTGCTGGCATACTTTTCCATCTATTTCAGCTTCTCCTTGTTTTTCTGCCCTCTGCATTAAAAAAGGGTGAATGTATTGAGATTTCCCATGTCTTGTTCTCATAGCAGGGATTTAATTTCTTTAAAAAAAATCCCAATGTTTTATTTCAATGCTACTGATATTGAGAGAGTGTGTTACTCCACTGCAATTATTCTTCAGCGATTCAGAGGATGACTGGTGGTTGCTCGTTCTTGTTTATCTAAGTTATATGAGAATGCACCATTAGATTTAATTTCTAATGTACGAGCCTAGCTTGCAAGTGAATGCTTTAATCCAGGTTGAGTATCTCTTATCCAAAACACTGGCAACCAAAGTGGTTTTGATTTTTTTTTCAAAATGTTGGATGCCTGCATTTGCATATGCATACGTAATTAAATATTTTGCAGAGGAACTCAAGTCTAAATTTGACATTCATGTCTACTTCAGATACACATAGCTTGGAGGGAATTATATACACAATTTTTAAAAAGACATATGTATGTGAAACAAAGGATGTGTTCACCCAACCATCCGAAAGCCAGGTTGTTTTAAAACTTTCTGAGGTTAAGATCCTCATGATTTTTTTTTTTAAATCTGGTCATGAAATGTATTAATAGGGGGAAAAAGAAATGGTGGGAACTAACTCACTTCCTAGCTGTATCCATATTTCTGGCCGTAGTCATAGAAACTTCTGTATTTAACTAGAAAACAAACTGAAATCTGTCTAAAATACATTAAACATGGATAAATGATGGCTCACAGGGTTGTTATAGCTGCTATGTTAGGGGCTTTCAGGAAGTGTGTGGGACTGAGCAGAAAAGAAATGAGTTGTCAAGCCAGAGCTGCCTTTGGTTCTGTAATATTTTGTTTTCATAACAGCACATGTTTGGGGAAGTCATATCACAAACAGAACTGCTAATATTAAAAATAACCAAAATTAAGTTAAAACAAATCTATCTCTCATCAAATGGATAAAGATGTATTTCTCACATATTTTTGATGATTATGACCTACAAAAGAAGGGGACTTTGTGTGTTTCCTTAGCAGGATGGGGCTGCATTCTTATTCTAACTTGCCAGTGAGACCCTTTGCAGTGTACTGTCTGCTTAATGTAGCAAAGCTGCTTTCTTTTCTCACTGCTGAAAATCTCCAGGGAATGAACATGTTTTGCCTGCTATATATTTCATATCCGTTGACCTTTATTGGAGGTGGTAATTAAAAAAAAAACCACTTTGGAGAACTGTTCACATTTTAAGGATAACTAAGATGAAAGAAAATAAGAGAGATAGCATAGCCTAAAAGTGGCACTGTTTACTTAATGCTTATCTGAGCATCTAGGAGAAGAAAAAAGCATTTCAGCGGCTCTGGGGTGGAAAGAAAGAACTCTGCATCCTACAGTAAAATGTTTCTGCTGAATTTTGTTAGATTTCTACTTATACTTGAGAATACTGTATGGAAATTATTGATATACTTGCCAGGACACTCTTTCCAGTCCAGTAGAGATTGCAAAGAACCAGGGGTGGAAGGGAAAAAATGGATTAGTTCTGGTCCACGAACTATAGTGCAAGGTTAATGGAAATCTTCCTGCAACTGCCGAGGCTTGTGTTACAGTGCAGGGCACACAGTGAGCAGGGAAGGTACAAGGCTGTGGCACATGCACTTTAGTTTCAGGCAGAATTGCCTTTGTTTAAAAATAGCATATGTGTGCATTCTCTCCTAGTCAACCATTACTGCTTTAGGGAGGCAGCCCTCCCTGCCCTTCGTTTTCCATGTACGTATTTGGCAGGCATCTAATATTTAGTGAGATCTGTCAGAGGTTCCAAGGAAAGGCATCATAAACTTTTCAAGTTTAGTCTCCCTAATATTTTGAAGCTGGAAAGTTCTAAATGTCAGAGCAACTCTGAGAATGGGAAGAAATGTTTGGTGAGTTTAGTTCGGATCACAAGTTCCGAACCACCAGTGGCGCAGTGGGTTAAACTCTTGTGCCAGAAGGCCTGCTAACAGATAAGTTGCCGGTTCAAATCCGGGGAGTGGGGTGAGCTCCTGCCTGTCAGCCCCAGCTTCTCATGTAGGTACATGAGAAAAGCCTTCCACAGGATGGTAACACATCCAGGCGTCTCCTGGGCAACGTCCTTGCAGACGTCCAATTCTCTCACACCAGAAGCAACTTGCAGTTTCTCAAGTCCCCCCTGACACCAAAAAAACCAAAACAAAACAAAGATCACAAGTTGGGACATTCTCCATTATGAGTGTATGTGACTATTCTTGGAAATAATTTGGGTCTGGAGGTTTAGCACAGCTGATAAATCATCACCAACTACAAGATCTATCAACCAAAAGATTGCAAGTTTGAAGCCCCGGGTTGGCGTGAGCAGCCAACTGTCAGCCCTAGCTCATTGTTTACCTAAGCAATTCGAAAACAGTTTTAGCTGTGATTAGGGAAATTAGGTACCGCTAAAAAAGTGTGGGAGGTGTTTTACAACACCATAAAGAAGGAAGATCAGAGAATGCTGGGTGACCAAAAGGAAGGAGGAAGTCCTGACGGCTCTTCATCATAGAGAATGGAGCAACAGCATCCCCTGTACTCAAGCCCAACCTTCCATGGCACCTCCTTCTGTTATGTCTGTCTGTGTATTGTCTATACGAAGCGGCATTGAATGTTTGCCGTGTATGTGTACTGTGATCCGCCCTGAGTTCCCTTCGAGGTGAGAAGGGCAGAATATAAATAAAGTGTTATAATGATGATGGTGGTGATGATGATAATTATTATTATTATTAACTTTTTAATACATGCATTTTCACCTTCCTGACACTTTGCTTTTTTTTTTTACAGAACAAATCTATCAGGAGCCTCAACGAATGGTCTGAAAATGTGCTTGGACTTTTGATGTGATGGATTTGCAGAGTTCTGTGACAAGCTTTTTTTAAAATAAATATTGAGTTTTGAATTCCACTTTTGTATAAAAAATATTTTATATAATTAAAAAACTGAGTATAACATTTCTTGTAATTATTCATTCTGGACTTTAGTAAATAGATACGTCTGAAATTGGCTGTTGGCTGAAATTATGCCTCGTTAGAAAATTCTAACAAAAGAAATTAAATATCTACATTGGCCTGAGTGATTATATCAATCGGTAAAGATTATTGTATGTCAGACATCTCATGATATGACATGATGCACCGGAAAAGTTTGGTAAGATGGAAAGCGATAGGAAAAGAGGAAGACCACACTACAATTAAATTGATACAATGAAGGAAGCCAGAGCCCTGAGTTTGCCAGACATGAGGAGAACAGTGGATGACTGGAGCTCTTGAAGGTTGCTCATTCATTGGTTACGTACAGTTGAAACTGAATTGACAGGATGTAACAACCTAGTGATAAGGTGACCGATTTTGGTGAACCAGGGAGGCACTTTTTACCATGTTGGGCCCCATCAGGATTGGAAATAGTCTCCAAAATCAAAAATCAAAACTATGAGTGCTTGGGTATACCTTTCTAGTTTAAATTAATATAGGCAGATGAAGGATTTAGGAAGAATAAATATAACAAGAGTATACTATATTTCTTTGTGGTAATTATTTTTGTGTACAATCTTGTTATGTTTATACTTCTATTATACCCTATTGTGCTTTATGTTACTTTAATATCCTTTCCCGATTTGTATTTTCATAGTCCTCTATCTTTAGACACTCCTGCTCTCACATCTCATTGCTAAATCTGTGCCCTCCCTTCATCATTTGCCACTGAATAAATCTTTCAAATTTATTTTCTGACTTTTGTCTTCCTTAGTTACAACCAACCAGTGACTATGTGTTGTTGTAGCCGGAATCACTGGGTTGTTGTGTGTTTTCTGGACTGTATGGCCATGTTCCAGAAGCATTCTCTCCTGATGTTTTGCCTGCATCTATGGCAGGCATCCTCAGAGGTTCGGAGGTCAGACAGTTTGCAGCAAGTGCAGAAAACTGAGGACAAGAGGGAAAAATGGGAAGAGAAAGAACTTGGACTTATTAAAAGCAATTGAAAAACTAGGATGGTAGAGGATTAATTGGAACGATCCCTGCCAAATCAGTTCTGTTGAAGGGTGAAAAAACATACCAGAACACTACATGATTACACTGGAAATGGCAATAACATTCAATAACTTTATTTAGTCACTTTGAAAAGATTACCATTTCTAAAATAATATTGTTTTTGGACAGTTACTATTAGAATTAATATGGCAATTGTTCAGACAGTTCTATTAAACTATATCAAGCAGAGCAATCACATTGTATAAGCCCGAACTCCCTGGATCTGTTTTCTTTTGGCTCCATTCCGGGGGACTCTGCTTCCTCAGACAGGCATCCCAAGTCCGGCCGGTCAAAGAGAGTGGCCACCTCTTCCTAAGGCTCCTTGCCCAAAGGACAACCATTTTTCAAGGGTGCATTGGGCTATTTGATGGTTTGGAAGCCATGAATCCCTCTGAGGAGAAGTGGCTGAAGAAGATAGAGAGGTTTGTCTTGGAGAAGAAAAGACCAAGAGAAGGTGACAAGAGAGGAACCATGTTTAAAGAAGGTCCAGCTGAGAAGAAGGGGGCCAGCTTGTGTTCGGCTACTCTGGAGACCAAGACACAATGAAGTCATGGATTCAAATAGTCAGAAAAATCTTCCGCCTGAACATTAAAAAGAACTTCCTGACAGTTTGGAGAGGAAAATGAGAAAAGGAAAGGCAAAGCTAAGATCATCAGACGCATCAAAAGAGCAGTAACAAATGCAGATTAATCAAGGTATTTAGTGCCTGATTAAGGGTGTTTAGGGCCACATAAACATCTATGTAAACTCCAGTTAATGATACTCAAAGCTTAGTTGGATTTTTAAAAAAGTTAATAAACACAATTAGTACAGCCAACAAAATTTAATTAAAAAGCAAGCCTACTAACAAATTTTCTAAGAAATACAATACAAAATGAAAATACAATTTTCACAATCTTTACAATTACAGCTTTTCTTCTTTTGTTTCAATTACACTTACTGTTTCAATTGCAAATACTACCACAATTACAAATATACATCTCCGCTAGTCTATATAAAACTTTTCTCCTGCTAGAAAATATGATGAGATGATAGACTCAACCATTCCTGTACCTCAAGTTATACCAGGTATGATCCCAGTCAAACCTGGCCTAAACTTCTTCCATCTGGCAGAGTGTGCTGAATGAATTGAATGAAAATTGTATGATTGGGGTCTGGCTGGGGCCTATAAAGGTCTGGCAAGGCTGGTGTGAGAAAGCCGGTATATAAATATTGTAAATAAATAAATAAATATTAAAGTTGGAACCTGAAAATGGCATCATGGAAGAGATGAAGAATTCATTAATTGTAGCATGAAAAGTTCTAATGAGAAATCCAGAAAACTGGCCTGAGAACTTTTGGTGTAAACAAACCCTGTTTACATAGCCAAAGACAATGTTACCTTAAGAAATAAGTTAAACATCATCTGTTCCGGGATTGATGAGGCTCCAGCAAATCTGAGCTGAATGATCTAAACAACCAAGTACAACAACGACTGTGATGTCACATGCTGGGCCTGAAATAATGTCTGTTTGCAGGACGTGCTCTCTGTATGCCCAACGGGATGCTGGGGTGCCTCAGCTGAAGGGCCCTTTAGATTTCCCAACACAGAGATCAATTGAGGCTCGAGATAAGTTCAACAAAGTTCTTTATTTGGGCTTAAATCTTCAAACAAATAAATTAAACACTTTATAACCTTGGAAAACCGGTAGTTTCCTCAATCTGCCAACAAGGGGCAGGCAACTGGTGGTAAACTGTTCCTTTCTTCCTTAGGGAAATCCTTTGACCCCTCTCTGGGCAATCTCTCTTTATCTTGCTGGCGTGAGGCCCCTACTTCCGGCTCCAAGCTGCTTTATGGACAGCCCGAGTGGTCCCTTACCAGGCAAGGTTCCTGTAGATCTGCCAAGCTGAATGGTGTCCTTTAGTTTCTCCACGAAGGCTGTAGGAACTATTTCTTTACTCCACAGCAGAGCTGTGGATCTATTTCTTTAACCCCCAGAAAAAGCTGTGGATCCTTTCCTTTTCCCCCCAGCAAAGCTGTGAGAAATGAAGCCTTTGTGCAGGTGGGAGAGAGAGAGGCTTCCAACAGTGAAACTGAACCAAGTCCTCCTTTCCCTCCAAAACCCTGGGAAAAAAGGCGGGTCTAAAGATTCTACCGATGATAGACAGGTTGCTGGCCCTATGACTGTAACCTGGAGAAGCTACCTGATTGCAAAAAGCATGACTTAAATAGATTCATGCAAACTAGGAGTGCAAGAAAAGGAATTCAAATCTCCTGGCACTACTGTGCCAGCACAACAACAACAACAACAACAACAACAACAACAACAACAACAAAATCGCTACGTAATGTGACTCTTTTCCTTTTTCCTGTGCCAGATCTGTGAGGAATGCAACATTTGAACACCTGCCTCCTTCCAAGAAGCCTGACCAACTGAATGAAGAAGGATGGTGAATATAAATGAGTGAAAGTATGGGTTATGGGTGAATTTTAGAGTTCATGTGATGTTTCCACTTTGTCTGTGTAACCAATATATAGCTATTATAAAATCCAGTAGTGGAGTCTGTGTCCACTTCTTCCTCTGAAGGAACCTCTGTCCCTCTGAAAATAGATTTAAAAACATTTTGAAGTTCAAAAAACATTCATGACACAAGGCTGGTATGCAAAGTCCGGTCAGTAAAAGGCAATGGCTACCTTTTCCCATGTATCCTCAGTTGAAGTAAAAATAATACTTTTGCAGAAATGTGTAAATACATACTTTAAGGGGGTTGCATTTGTTTCCTCTCTTCCTGTGTGTTTATAGGTGACTAAATTGTTAGGAGCTTCTGGTGGTGCAGCAGATTAAATCACTGAGCTGCTGAACTTGTTGACCAAAAGGTCGCAGGTTCGAATCCGAGGAACAGCGTGAGCTCCCGCTGTCAGCCCCAGCTTCTGCCAACCTAGCAGTTTAAAAAGATGCAAATGTGAGTAGATCAATAGGTACTGCTCCAGCGGGAAGGTAACGGTGCTCCATGCAGTCATGCCGGCCACATGACCTTGTAGGTGTCAACGGACAACGCCGGCTCTTTGGCTTAGAAATGGAGATGAGCACCACCCCCAGAGTCAGACATTACTGGACTTAATGTCAAGGGAAAACCTTTACCTAAATTGTTAATACATAATATTTAAAGTTAATAAACCAGGATTTTGAGAAATTATCGTAGATAGACAATGTTATATTAAGTCAGTTTTTAGTTGTTTTATTTAAGTTAGAAGTTCTTTTCTTGTCAAAGCCTTGCGTTGCATTAAATGTACTGCTGGATGAACATGTTTGTGGTCAACACAGCAAAACAAAAATGGACCAAATATATATGCTTACCACAGTGTAGGTAGATGATCTGCTGACAGATACTCTTCTGTTCTTCCTTACTTTTCCAACATTTATCCAAGAGGATATTATTCTCACTTTTCCTAAATAGATTTCTAATTTGAAACAAATAAAATCTGCTATGTACGTTTAAGTCTCAAATCTATTTTTAAGGAGAGAGGAAGTTGAATGAGGAAGCGTGTGTCATTTCTGGGAAAAGATTAGGCAGCAACAATGATAACAATCAACTGGAGATAAAATGGTCAAGAGGCAAAAGACAGGTAGAGGAGACACTGCAAATTGAAAGAGGAAGAGAACAAAACAGGTGGGAGATTAAAGAAGAACCACACAAAACTTGCTATTGTGTCTGTTTCCTCTGACAAAATTGCATGTATCTTGCTTAACCTAAAGTCACCAAGAGGCTACATTGCACCAGAGCACTCCATGCAATCAGAAGCTTTATTGTTCACTTCATTTGTGAAAGTGCTTCACGAGCACAAGGTCACACTAAGGAGAATGTCAATGTACCTGGCCAGGCAAATCTGAAAGCCAGCAGGCACCAAAATAGCTACAATTTAGGGAGGCGTGGGAGGATAGATTGGACTACTTTCAGGATGGAATGAAAAGCAGTGAGTGCAATTTTGTGCTGCAGTGTCAAGGGAGAGTATGTTGTTGTGTGCCCTCAAGTTGTTTTAGACTTATGCTCAACCTGTCATGGGTTCTTCTTGGCTCGGTACGGTATGCCTTTGCCTTCCTCTGAGGGCGAGAGAGAGTGACTTGCCCAAGGCCATCAATGGGTCTCCATGGCTAAGTGGGAATTCGGTCCCTGTTCTCCAGAGTCTTAGTCCAATCCTCAAACCAGGACACTATGCTGTCTCAGGAAAATGGTATACATAGAAAGATATTAGCAATTGCCTGTGTGCATTTTAAAAGGATTAAGAAATATGTAAACATTGTGAGAAAGAAAGTAATGTGGCTGAACTTGATAAATGCAGTTAGGTACTTAAGTGGATTTTTTTCAAGACGCTTGAAATGTGTGCTAACCTTTTCAATGAGATAGTTATTATAATGGTTATATTAATTTCTGTGGAGAGATCCACAGAAAACTGCCTTATGGAGAAGAGAAGAAGTTTGAAAGGTAAAGGTTTCCCCTTGACATTAAGTCCAGTTGTTTTAAATTCTCTGTGTTATTGTTTATATGTAAGTTATATTAATTCTACTGATTTATTTGCTTGCTGTTTCGGTTTTACTGATGTGCTGTAGGGCTTGGCCTCATGTAAGCCGCCCCGAGTCACCTTGGGGAGATGGTGGCAGGGTATAAATAAAGTTTTTATTATTATATTATTATTGTGTCCGACTCTGGGAGGGG